GCTGCGTGAATGAGGCCTTGCAGGTGGACAGGGAACCAAGGTAGGAGTGTCTCCATGAGAACTTTGCCGAAGTTGAAGAAATGTGACAACTGTGCAGCCTGTACGATAGACTCTTCTGAGCAAAAGAGTGCTTTTGCCATCAGCAGTGTCCTAGATAATTAGTATCACCAATCAATCCAAAGAGAAAAAGTCTCTTGAAGATCATGAAAGAAAAAGGAACCTTTTTATACAAGAATTCTACAGCCAAGCACCTTAACCAAAGTGTTTATCCATGTGTACCAACATGAGATTAATGAGATTCATGTGAGCCCAAAAAGCAGAAGGAATTTAACAAACCATTACAGCTGAAATTAAAAGCTACAGACATTTGCCACATGTACTATAACCAAAGGATCAATTGCAGTAGTAAAGTGAACTATTTTAAAAGACATTATGAACGGCTAGTCATGGTTTGACAAGGAACAGTCACAAGGAGGGTGAATTTAAAAAATTAATTTTTTTTCTTTAATGAAGTTATAATGAAGGGTACAAACGCTGCTATAAGGAGAAAACAACTTCTTTGATTTGGGAATGAGAACAGCAGGCTCAAACAATCTGACATTCTTTCTTCAGAGGTGGCAGAGAAACCTCCATTTGATAAACAGTCTCTAGAGCGATCCCAGGTGGAACAGGGAAGTCCATCATGTCTGTGTTAGGGAGTGAGGAATGAAAGCTAATGAACGAGAAAATGAAGAGGAGGACTTCCCCATATATCCAACTTGCAAGTATATATAGTAAAAAATAAGCACAGAATAACACGAGAAAAGTAACTCCCCATGCCAATGGCAGTTAGAGTTGCAACTGTAGCAAATACCACCAATATATCCCTAGTACTTAAAGCAGTAATAAACCCAAAAGCAAATATTTGTTATACTACAGCTTTCCAACTCTTAGATGTGATGGCTGAATTAGTTTTCTTTTACAGGCTCTCTTTCCCTTATTTTCACCTGGTGATTTGGCCTGCAAGTCATTTGTTTTTTCAAATAGCAAGCTCTCTTGCAGATGTAGCAATTTCAGGGATGAAACAAACCATTTACCGCTGACAGGGGTGCTTACAATGATCAACTTCTATTTACGTAAAACCTTTATTCCAAAAAAAAAAAAAAACATGTTGCTGTAATGGCTCATAAAGAGTTAGCTGAAGTTTGGCTTCAATGTGTTAGTGTATCTAAATCTGCTAGTACATCTAACGCTATACTCCCCCCTCCGGAATGACAATGCTGCTGTCCTCATTCATCCAGTAGGGGGGCACTCTAATACAGGGAGTGTGTTACTGGCCAGATCACCAAAGGGGAAAAAGAATTACAGAAACTAGTGCAGCCACCACAACTGGCTGGTAAGCTGCAATTTAAATATTTTGGTTTTGGGTTTAATACTGCTTAAAACAGAGTAGACCTTAATCCAGCACAAGCCTGCTAGGCACTCACAACAGTGAGTAGCAGAGACAGGGACAGCAAAACTGCCTCAGCTCTGGCCCAATGACCTGACCTCAATAGCTGAGTTTTACATGAACTAGAACACAGATGGTAGTCCCTGCTGACAGCAGGACTGTCACAAAGAGAACACCCTTATAGATGAGAAACTGGGGAACCATGCTGCTTAGCTGATTGGAAAGACTTTAAAAATGTTCATATCCAGCCTGAATCTAGCATGGCAAGCTGGTTTTAACCCAAAGGTTGTAAATCCTTATATACCCAGTGAACTATCCTGAGGTGATACACAGAGGTGAAACAAATCCTCCTTTATAAACTGTACCTGTCTATCTGCAGTCTTCTCTTCTCTATATCTGTTCAAAATGCTCAATTTATAAAGCTTTTCTGAGAGTTTAGAAAAGAGGGGGCGGAGAGTTGAAATACACTCTGCAGAGCGCAGTGAGAAGAGCTCTGAGAGCTGATTGGAGGGAAGAGACACACAGAAAAAGAGCTGAGGCTGTCAGTCTGCTGGAGATCCATTCCCTGTCACCATTTTTTCTTTTGGTGACAGGAAAACTTGTCAGAAGTGATTTATGCTGATAGCAAAAGAACAAATCAGCAGACAGCAATTACACTTAGTTCTCTTAATTGAGACAAGTACACACTACAGAGGGATATGCTTTGTCCATATCTCATGGCTGAGGTTTACAACCACTATAAGACTCCCCTTATCTCAAAGGATGAGAAAGAAAAATCATTTAAAAAAATTATATAGTTTAAAGTAGATGTAAAATACTGTTAATGAAAATGTTATATATTACTGAGGCTGTACAATCCATGTTGGTTAAGTAAATATTTATCAAAACTATTTTCTACAAAAATACACTAATCCCTGGTTCCCTCGGAATGTAACTTTGAGATTGTGCTACTTCACTTGATGTAGCACAATTTCAAAGCCACAGGTCAGTGCAATTTCAGGTGCGACTTGCCTGACATCTATGTGACTCCATGCACAGATGTTTATGCAAGTCGCACCTGAAATCATCAAAAATAGTGCAGGTACTTTTTCAAAATTGGTGCGACTCCAACAGAGTCGGAGTTGCACCGATTTGAACGGTTCCATTGCTGATAATAGGGTGCGACTTGTCATGCAATTTGGATCTTTCAAATCGCATGACAAGTCACACCGGTGTGAACCAGGGTTTTTACAGAGTAGGGAATAGTTAAAACTCCTGCAAGTAAACCACTATTGAGATTTCTCTTGACTTCCGGACCTGGAGACAGCATAAAAAGTTAAAGGAAATTTTTTCTAAAATGAAGGGAAATATTTATTTATCACAAGTATTTATATAGTGCCGTAGATTGTACATTCACATCAGTACCTGCCCTAAAGGGAATTCCAATCCAAAGTTGGGCAGCTAGCAAGGAACAGGTGTCCCCATTTGAAAAGTTCTGTTCCTGAAACAGCTGATTATTATTGGATTGCTCATCACTTTCTGTCCAGGTTGCAATTGCTGCCAAAACAAAGAAAGGAGGGAAATCTCTCCAATATGAACTAAAACAGCAATGCCAAAAAACATAAAAAAAAAAAAAGTTTTGACTAGAGGCACATTTTAACCAATGACAAATACATGTACATTTAAAGTGGAATTCAGCACTAAGCTTAGAACTGCTCCCACCCCCTTCTAACTCCTATACTAACTACCCTGTAGAAGCAAGATGGTTATACATACTAATTCTCGGGGCACTCTGGTCTTGTTATGTGATCTCCCCAGTGGCCAGCTTCAGGGGTGAGGAGAGAGTGCCAAACGACTGGGCGGTCATGTCTTTCATAGGCTTATCATGGGGCATCCATTGTCAACTGTCCCTCCTCTGTCCTGAAGCAGCCTTCTGGAGGCTGATCATAAAAGCCCACTGGAGAACCGTGAGAATAGGTAAGTATAAGCATCTTCCTTCTACAGGGTAGTTCATATAGGAATTAGAAAGGGGTCAGAGTCGTTTAAGCCTGGGTTCACACTGATGTGGTGCAGAATTCGCAGTGGTTTCTGGGTGAATTCCGCACTGCATCACAATCGCACCCCGTTCATGCCAACCGCTGTGGGTGTGTATGTTAACAACACCCCGAAATCGGTCTGCAAAACGCGGTGCAATGTGCAGAATTGGATCGCATGGGTGTGAATACCCATGTGATCCGATTATAGAGCAGACCAAAAAAAGGGTCCTGCACCTTTTTGGTGCAGATGCGGTGAGATCTGAGCCATACAAAATGTATGGCTCAAATCGCACCGCACAGAATTCGCATGTGATTTGCACAGGAATGCAGTAACATGCGATATGTGATAAGTGTGAACCCAGGTTTATACATAGTTCTAGCCTGGACTTCTACTTTAAAGTTTTTTTGTGTAACAGTGAAACCTGAAGGAATGCAAAACACTTTCCTTAATCTATCTGTCACTATAGAAAATGGGTGCAGTATGCTTGTGGACTCTTTGACTGTGTATCCCTATAATTATATATTTATATTAGGTGTGCACAGCTATTGTGTGTTTCAAAATGTTGTATGTATTTTTTAATTCTATTAAATGAATTTTTTTTTTTTTTTTAAAAGGCCGTCACAAAGTAGCTGACATGCCTGCTATGTAACACACAGATGGTGACAGGTCCACCTTTTATAAAGACATCAGGGTTCTATTATATGTGTCCTGTGTACTGTGGTTGGAGAAGACAGTCCATGACAACCTTCATCCCAACACTCAACTGTGAACCCAGAAGCGCTCAGGACAGAACACTATGGGTTGATTCTCAGTCAAAGGGAGATTGGTGAACATAAAACTAACCACTAATCTACCTACTCAGGATCATGATGTTAAAAACAATAAGACAGAAATGGTTAGGACCAGCAGCGATGAGCAGAAGTTTCAGTTTTTTAGTCACTCCTACAATTTTAATAAATACTTTAAATTTACAAATAGTTAATGGGTTTTGCAGACTGATGGTGGTGGTGTAATTGTGTGGGGAAAATTTTCTTGCAACACATTAGATCCACTGAATAGACAGTGTATCAGACAACATGAACCTCTTTTTTTGTGCACATAGCCACTGCATGTAAGCCACTTAAAAATCTGATAAATGCTTGCATGTTAGATTCATAAAGTAAACAAATACATGCAACAAAGCTATATCCCAAATGCGGAAATTAAACTAACAGGGTCTGTGTCAAAAGGCTTGTTTCAACAGCATCAGTTTGACATCAGTTTGAGATGGTTCTGAGATCGTTCAAAATTTAATGCCAGATGCATTTGACCTGCAGTTGACCACCTTCTGACCTGCTTCAGGCAGGTTTTGCATTTCCATAGACTAGTATGAGAATGGAAAACCTGTTTGAAGTGCACAAAAGCCCTTTGACACAGGCTCTGACTCATGTGTTGGCAAACCTATATTCGAAGGAAATGGTCATATCCAGTATTACAAAGCATAAACACTTACCAAACAAATGTAATGTAGAGGAACAGAAAAGAGTTATACTTACAGGAAATATATTTTACCAGCTGCAGACAGTACCCGTTTCCGATAGTCTATACCAGAGTCCAGCTGAACACTGTTGCAGAATGTCTGCAAGACAAAATGTAATATTTATACATTATGCTATACATAGCTAAAATAACAACAGCAAGAGCACAATAAATCCAAAGGACTTATGATCAGATTCTACTCCAAAGAAAAAAAGTACATGTCTGTGCTGCCTGAGCTTTTAGGCTCTATGTATACGAGTCTACCCTGACCACCGGACGCGGGAAACCACAAATCGAAGCAACTGCGGTACTGCTATTTTGCGTTTTCCCGCAGTTGGTGGTCAATACATTCCTATCCTGAACGCGATTCTCCCGCGTTCAGGAGAGGGAGGTTTAACCTCACCTAAAACGCAGCAGCTCCTAAGCTCTGCTAATAGCCTATGTGTAGATGGACACACAGGCTTTTAAGGAGTTGAGTTTAGGAGCTTTGGCAAAAAAATACCAAATGCTCCTAAACTCGAGTTTAGGAGCTGCTCGTGTACGTGAAGCCTTATTGATCATTACTTTGTGAAATAATAATTTTTTCCACCATTTTATAAGTTGTTCACTTTTTTGTAGTGCTTAGTGGTTGTTTTTTTGTTTATATTTATTTTTAACTTGATCACAGACATCATTATGTTTTATTTTTCATAGAATATAATTTTCATTTTGTAAAAGTAAAATATTACCAGTGAGAAACAGAATAATATATCACTTCAGATATCTATACTAGGGGCATGTGCACACCTATACTTGGATCCCTACCCTAAATTTGCCTTTAACATTGCGATGTTAAATAAGTAGTTCTACCATGCTGCACATTACAAGAGACTGCCCAGTTACTTAGACACTGTCCAGAGCCTGCCATGGGATATATGTATGATAATATTTTCATGTAGAATGTAGAGAGAGGCTTGCATTCAGGGAACCAGATCTGAGAAGAGCTTTCTGGGCTTGATCATCACAGCTCACATAGTCAAGCACAGAGGATGCCTGGGAATGTGCAACTCAGTTAAGCAATGGGCACTGGAAGGCAGACATTCCCCTTTTCTAGAGTAACACAATAAGTGGAGCTAACAGTAGTTAGTCACCTTCTACTTGACATGTTCGATAACACTGAATAAATTTCACCACTTATCCAAATGGCTTCCTCAATTTTAAAGAGTAACACAATTTTCATGGAAAAATATGTTACAAACATTAATATAGCAAAAATAATTGCGACACAGGCCATTTTCTAATATACATTATTAAAAATGACCTTTCCTTTTCAATCTGCAGAACTGTAATTTTCTGTAAACTGCAATGCAATTTGGCAACCTAGAGGCCTTCTGTACACAGTTGGTATACGGAATGCCTCCCAGAAATGTAATTTCCTACTTATGTGATTGGTTCACTTATTTTCCCAGAGGTCTGCACTAAGTTACAAATCTTGGGCATCCTCTACAACAAACATTTCAGTTTTGGTGAGGTACTCACAAAGGGTTAATCACGTCTAAAGGGATTCAGACCCTTCCCATTTTCCTCACTAGAGCCCTGCGAGTGCAGCAGCTGATCACTAATGAAAAAGTCACTCTTTCACATTCATTTTGCACATGGACACAGACAAACAGCTATTTCTTTAGAATAACAAAAGGTAGGAATCTGCAACAAGTTTGTTAATATCCCAGAGGGAATGTTTTTTTTCTCAAGAAAAGTAAAGTTACTCTTTAAAAAACATGTTCCATCATTTATAGTTGCTGAGACATGTTTCTGACACTCATCAAAACTGAGGAAGTGGTAAAACCTATTTATTATTGCAAAATAAATCCACTTAAATGTGATTAACTACTACTATCGTTATCCAAAAACCTAGTTAAAGTGGAGTTCCACCCGATTTTTTAATTTTTTTTTCAAAGTATTCACTAGTGGTGTCCCTATGTTTGGGAGGGTTTTTTGCAGTTTACATACCTTTTTTAGCCCATTATAAATGAACTTCCGTTGTACCTCGCCACAGCAAGGTACATCATATCCGCCCCACCCGTTGGTTCCTGGGATCATTGAATCATCAATTCCAGGAATCAACAAGCATCCCCCAGCTTGTAGCATTGCGTTATTTCCAAGCCGGAAATGACGCGATGCCAGGCAGAAACAAGCTGTCTCCTTTTGCCGACCACACTTGCCTTCCCAGGGTTGTCCTTTGATTGACAGGTTGCCATAAATACAGGTAGTGAACAATGGCCGTCGCCGCCATTGTTATGGCAACCTCTTCTAAATAACTTGCGCCATGAAGTGTCCTTACTGCGCAGGCGCGAGATCGAGAGGTGTATGCTGGAACAGACAGCAGCACATAATCCAGGAAGTATACAGTAGCAGGCTTCAAATACCCACATCCATCATGGAACCTGCCTGCTTCCGAAATCTATGTAAAATAATTTAGATTATTTACGTAACAAGCATGATATCATACTTAGTCTAATATTACAGTGCAGGTTGTAATAATTATGGGAGAGATGTTTAAAAAAAAAATTATGGGGACTGGAACGCTGCTTTAAATGAAAACCTTCACAATACTGTATATCATGTATCTTACAACAAAGCTACCCAAGAACCTGAATCAGGCTACATGAGTTCTGTACCACATCTTCCAAACAATTATTTTACTTTTAAGCTGCAATATCCTCTTGGCGGGTAACCTAGAGATCCTTCAAGGCACCAGATCTCGTGTAGGTCACTAATCTGTATTAGCTGACCATCAGAAATATACTGATACCTTCTCTAAAGTGAGTGTAGTAAAAGGTAACGAAAAATATCAGTGAGTAACCTGGCATTTGCTTGGAAACTTTTTTTCCTACTAATACAAATGTACAATTACTGACAACATAACATGATACCTACTTAAATATTAAGACTCAGAACAAGATCTCCATAGTCCAAATCAAAGAATCAAATTGACATCTTCAAATTATATATATTCTGTGTAACATGTACACTAAGAATATAAAAAACTATAAGATGATGATGAATTAGATAAAGAATGGTGTTAATTACTGATGGCAAGGCATTCCCTAACTAAAAAAGAAAACCCTCAAAATTACACTGACATTTACAGATTCTGTGGCTTACTATTACGCCAATTTAGAACCTCCCCCCTCTTTAATAAATAATGTCAATGAATCTATGTAGGAATTGGTCATGACCTCAGGGGTAATTGGCAATCATTCAAAAGCAACAAGACTTAAAATGATGTATTCTTTATTTGTCTGCTTGTCTGCTGATCAGTAGATTAATAAACCCCAGGTCTTCTCTGCGACAGTTTTATGAATCAATGGTAATTAGTTACATTCTGACATCAAGAGAACTTAGTATCACTTCATCAACCTTTCTAACCTTCATTCAAGTATTAGCAGTAAATAGTTTCTAAAAGAATCTCCCAATAGGAAAGCAAAGCTTCCATGTGTTGTTCTTTGCTGTGCTACAGCAGTGTCTGTACGTGACCCATATCTAAAGCACAATCATCTGTAATTATCCCATTTGCTATAATACTCTGACTCTTTCAAACATTGTTCAGTGTGACTTATGAACAAATGCTACTTAATTTTAATAGAAATATGTCAAACATAAGGGTCGGCCAGCAATGCAAGTTCTTTGCTGCGGGTGCAGCTCCTCAGTGACCGGAGTGATCACGATTTCACTCCTGTCACAAGGAGCAGCTGCCAACACTTGCTGGAGGGAGGATTAGGCTTTCTCCTCCCTACAACCTGCAGGGGGCAATAGACAGCCGGCACTAAGGAGTGAAGGCAGAGTGTCCTTCCGCTCTCCCCTTCTCATGTGACTTATCAAATGACTGAAGGAGGGAAGGAAGGAGAAGCTGCATTCACAAGAAGATCTGGAAGTACAAAGGGGAAGGGGGGTTTACAACTGATGTAAGGGGGCACTGTGATGAGGAAACCTGATGCAAAGGCAGACTCTGATGGGACACCTGATGGGACACTTGATGCAAAGGAGGATTCTGATGGGGTTACCTGATGTAAAGAGGGGTTCTGATGGGGACACCAGATGTAAAGGGGGGCTCTGATTGGAACACCTGATGTAAAGTGTGACACCTGATATAAAGGGGGACTCTGATGGGGACAGCTGGTGTAAAGGGAAACACTTGATGGATGGGGAGACCTGATGTAAAGGGGGACTCTGATGGGACACCTAACGTAAAAGGGATTCTGATGGGGACACCGGATTTGTAGTCCTCTAGCTGGTGGTGGTATTCTGCATTGCTGTATAATGTCTTGCTGGGATTTGTACTCCTCTATAGCTGGTGGTATTCTGCACTGCTGTATTATGTATTGCTGGACACTCATTTTAATAAAATTAAACTGTTCCATTACTACATATCTTTTTCTACACACAATTGACCTTACAGAAGACTGTAATGCTCCTAGAGTGCAGTGGTCAGGCGTACGAAATCTAAAACACAATGAGCGGAATTTATCAAAACTGAAGCAGACAGAATCTGGAGCAGCTGCACATGGCAACCAATTAGCTTCTATCCTGAGCTTGTTCAGTTAAGCTTTGAAAATGAAAGCTATGAGCTGATTGGTTACTATGCACAGTTGCCTCAGATTCTGGCTGCTCAATTTTTCCATAAATTCCCCTCGGTGTCTACAATACAGGGGTCACGAGTGCAGAACACACAGGTCATCCTATGGACTACAACTAAAATGAATCCCTCTTCCCAGTACAAATCATCCCCCCAAGCCCATATCATCTACAGTACAGATCTCTCTAACATCGCTAAATCCACCCTTCCAACCTAGTCACTCAGTACAGATCCCCCTTTCCCAGCACAAACCCCTCAGTACAGACTCTCCTCACAGCACAGACTAACGTCCCCAAAACAGACCCCTCAGTACGGACCAACTTCCCCAGAACAGACGGTCCCTTCAGCACAGACCACCTCACCAACACAGACCCCTCAGTACAGACTGACCTCCCCCCCCCCAGCGAAAACAACTCAGTACACCCCCCTCCCCCAGCAACTCAGTACAGATCCTCCCCAGCAAAAACCCCTACAGACCAACTCTC